TATTCTTCAGTTTGGAGAAAGTAATAGACATTATGCATCAACTGTTATGAATCATTGTAGTAGTAGATCTCATACAATATTCAGATTATATGTAAGATGTGTTCCTAATACAATTGGTCCAAATTCAGTGATAACTGAATCTATACTGAATTTTGTTGATTTGGCAGGTTCAGAAAAAATTAATATTCATGATTCAATGCTTAAAAAAAGAGGAACATCTGCAGGTGGAAGTGGGACTCAATATAAAGATAGATAAAATGAATCCAAACATATCAATAAAAGTTTGTTTTTTTTAACTTAAGTTATATCTCTAAGAGCATAAGGAAGGAAGTAAGTACTTAACAATATTTAGTGATCAACATATTCCTTATCGAAACTCACCTTTAACAAAGATTTTAAGATCATCCTTAGGAGGTAATTCAAGAACTGCCATAATCCTTTGTGTTAATCCTTGTTATAGTTAATTTGAATAAACATTGTCTACTTTACGATTTGGAACAAATGCAAAAAAAATAGAAAACAATGTCTCCAAAAATATAGTAGGATTTGATAATGATGAAAGTTTGAATAGGGTAATAAAGGATTATGAAACAAAAATAGAGGAATTACAAAGAGCTAGAGTTGATGATAAATAACAATAAGAAATGATGCTAAAAATAATAGAAAAGCTTGAAGAACAAAGAAAAATATTTAAATCCTAATTTAATACTTCTGATCATATTTAAGCAATGATTAATAAAAATTTACCATATTAATGGACTCATTTACATTATCATGGTGTTGGAGTGTTATGGGTACCAGAAAAAGGATGCAGAGATGTTGAAATTAAATAGGATATTATTGATTCTTTTGGAATGATTAAGAAATATCAAAATTTAGAAGAAGAATTCATTATTTTAAAATCTGAGAAATAAACAATTGAAAATTAAGTTAATGAATTAAAATTAAAATAATAAGAATCTGTTATTTAAACTAAAAAGAGATATGCAAATTAAAAAGCTAAAACAAGAAAATATAAATAATTAAGTAAAGATCTATAGGATGAAAGGAATAAATTATTAAAAATTGCCTTATGTTATCATAATATGATTGATGTAGATGAGATGATGCTGTTAAACAATGAAACTCTAGATTAAATGTTAGAGAATATTTCTATTATGATGTAAAATATATATAAAGTTAAATTACGAAAAGAAATGAAGCTTAAAGGTGAAAATATGGAATCTTTAAAATTGAAAACCTCTAAACCTATTAAATATCCTAAATACTTATTTGATACTTCAGCTATAAATGTTTAATTTTGGGATGCAAATGAAAATAAGAAGACAGAAGATATAAATAAAAGTGAGATTGAATCTTTTTAAAGTTACTTTTAATCTCAATTAAATTAAAGTAGTCCAACATATACAGATATGCAAAGCAGTATATAATAGTTTAAGGAACCATTTAAGCATATTTGTTCTCATGAAAAAAATGTATAAAATAAATGTGGAAAAGAAAACTTTGAACCATCATTCAAAAAGAATCAAAGCATGGAAATAGCTGATGAATTAAATTTCCGTAGTTATTTTAGATGAAATGATTAATATTATAAAATAATGTTTTCCTTATTGTTTTTAATCACCACGTCTTATGCTACAGACAAAAATTGTTTATGGCACGATTCCTTTGGTTATACATATGATATTTCAAAACTTCACAACATCAATAACTATCAAGTACCTGATACTGATACAAGTAACTTTTCTAAGCAAATTTATAAAGGCATGGGAATGTTTAATATGGTTTACGAGTTTAATTTTTGTACAGGAGCGGTTCGATGTTAAGGTCGGGATGTTGCTGCATTTGAAGCACTTGAAGTGATGGGAAAAGTGACAGAAAATTGTGATGTATATTCATAAATCAATTAAAAGGTTTTAGGATTAAAAGAAACTTAAGAATTTGGCTATGTTAATCCAGTTTATCCTGAATTAGGCATTTCCATAACTTACAAACAAGGTTATTCTTAAATTAATTATAAGGTGATATGTGTTTTGATGTTAAAGATGATGGTGGATTACAAAAAATAATTGCAGATAATGAACAAATGTAAATGAGTCCAAGATCTGTTACTTTTGAAATCACATGTGGAAAAGATGAACCTAACTTTCGAGTTATAGATTCTAGTAAATGCAATATAAGATTGGGTATTTAACACTCAGCTGGATGTAGATCAGGATCCTCTCCTAGTAATTATTATAATTATCATAGGTGGGGGAAGCTAAACAATGCTTTTATATATTATTTTAGCAGCTGGACTTTATTTTGGTGGTGGAATAGCTTACAATAAAAAATAATACTAGCTTAGTGGAGTAGATGCACTACCTCATTCACATTTTTGGAAAGATTTTCCACATTTGGTCAAAGATGGGATTAATTTCACTATTATCAAAGTTTTTGGGATAATCAAAAAATTTAGAGGGTTATCAAGCGAAGGAGGATATGCTGTAATTTGATGTAATTTTAGTAATATAAAATTTTATTGATATTTAGTAAAATGTTATGCTTTATATTCATAAGATTTATAATTAAGTAATGTTCCAATCTACCTTATCCTATTTTGTTCAATTATTTTCATTAAAAACAGCACCAAATATAATCATAGTATCTAGATTTTATTTAATTCACTTTTTTTATTAACTTAAATCTTAAAATATATTCATATAGTGTCTATTAGATTATTTTATCAATCATATTATTAAAATAAAATAATATTCTCTATTATAATAAAATAATCATAAATTTCAATATTAATATATTTTATGATTTATATAATTGGTTTATTAGTTGTTGGAATAATTTGGGGAATAACAAATCCTTTTATGGAATCTGGAGTCGGTAATAAATAGTAGGACCTGTTCGGATTTAAATCCTTTATTCAAACAATCCTTAATTATAAGTTTATAATTCCTTTTGGAATAAATCAAAGTGCATCAATATTTTATTACTACCTTTTGGGTCATACTCCATTAAGTTTAGGACCAGTTATTGTGAATTGTGTCAACTCAGCAACAACTGTAATCACTGAATCTCGTTTAAAAAAGTAGAAATTGAAGTAAAAGACTTGGATTGGATTAATTTTAATGTTTATTGGAACCTATATGGTTTGCTCAAGCAAGTGATAATGATTATAGATATATAATATACACAAAAGAGTTTTATATGTTTATTTTTGAAATTGAAATTATTTTTCTCATTCCTTTCCAATAAATAATGATAAGAATTATCTCTAAGATAAAATAATATGACTCTTTAATGTATTAAATTCAATTAAACTAAATATCATTTTTATATTTGCAAAAATGAATTTAAACAATTGAAATAAACTAAAATGCTTTAAACTATTATTTTACACAGATAATCATTTGAACTCATATTATAGAATAACAATTAATTCGGAAATCTTTTGATAGAAAAAATTAAGAGAGAATTAAATTATCAAGATCTATTTAAGAGAAATACTATTTTAAGAAATAGAAATAATTATCAATAATAAATTAATTTAATCTCAATAATTTGATTGTTTCAAATAAATTCAATTAGAATATTTATTACATATTTTAGATAAGTTTTTTGAAACTTAGAAAATTATTAAAATTGATTAAATATATAAATTTTAAAGGTCAAAACTAATCTAAGCTAATGAATATAACATATCAATAAATAATCTAAAAATTCAGCAAAAAATGTAGTTAATGCTTCTCTCTATTTTAATTACAGAGTTTTTCTTTAAATTTGTAGAAATTCCTTATTGGGTCCAAAACAGTTAAATAGATTTTAATGGTATTCTCAAATAGAACTCCATTTTTGTATGAAAAATCATTGGATCTAATAGAAGAGGAAATCTATATCTAGTTATAGTAAATAAAATAAATTAATTTAGGTAAAGTTTAAGTGTTTTGAAGAGAAAAAATATGATCCTTCTGGCATTTTTTAGCATAAAATATTTTTAGATAAGTTGATCAGATTTTTTTTTACATTTGATCATTTTTGACAATATTTTATGAGTAAAGCTAATTTATTAGTTCAAAAATCAATTGAGGTTGGCAATATTTTGTAAATTGATCACGCATTATTTGTTACCTAATAGTTGCTTTATGTTGCCAAACCATATAATTAAATAAACATTCTTGATAATTTTAGGTTATGAAACTGTTAAATTATAAATCAGTAGTAGAAGAAAAATAATTGCTTTATAATTTTTGTGTTTATTTAGAAGAAAGAAATTTGAATTTAGAATGAAATACCCAAAATTTACTTTTTAATATGATAATTTTACTGAATCTGGATAAATTATAGATTTACATTTTTTTTAATACTGATTATTTATTATAACTTTTAATCTTCAATCAATTAAATAAGTATCATCTATATTCTTCTTAAATTGATTCTAAACAATTTTGAATATTGTTAGGGTAAGTATTAGTTTTTCTGCTTTTTATTCTTATATACGTTAAATTCTTTATTTTACATCAGATTATTTGCTATTCTAATGCCATCCTACTTCATAAAGATAATCTTTTCTGTATTGATATAAATTTGAATAATCAATTATTAGGTTTTTATTAGGATTTCAATTCTTGATATAATAAGCATTTTTATTTGCCAATGAAAAAATTGTTAAAATAAGCATACCAAAAATTAAAATCGAGTTAACCATATTCAAAAAATTAAAATAAATATAGATGTAATATAAAAATGTTTTTAATAACTTTTGACCAAAAATTAAATTATGATTTAAAACTTAATATTTGATTTATGATAATATCATTAAAGATTGGTTTTTATAATGGGATTAGTTTAAAATTTATTAAATAATTTATAACAATTAGATATAAAGATATGAATAATGTAAAAAATCTATTTTGGGAAATTAGTAATGTCAAAACTTTTACATAAAATGAATTAAAGAACAAAATAAAAAATAAATATAAACTAAGAAAATTATTGTTATAATTGTTATTTGGATAAATCATTCCTATTATTTATTAGAATCATCTTATTTAATTTTATTAATATCTTCTTTAAGCTTTTATGACCAATAATCTTAGGATTAAGGTTGTTGTTCATCAACTAATGCGCTATCAATATGGTTTTATTATACAAATTGAGTACCATTTAGTTAATTCTTTATGTTCATCTTAATAGTTGATACATCATTAGCAATCTTTTACATCCATTCTTCATTTGATCTTGCTCTACCATCAGCAACTACATTTTCTTCAACAAAGGCAATATGATCAGCATCTAATTAAGATTTGATGTTTTATTTGATAGTTGAAACATCATTAGCAATCTTTTACATCCATTCTTCATTTGATCTTGCTCTACCATCAGCAACTACATTTTCTTCAACAAAGGCAATATGATCAGCATCTAATTATGATTTGATGTTTTATTTGATAGTTGAAACATCATTAGCAATCTTTTACATCCATTCTTCATTTGATCTTGCTCTACCATCAGCAACTACATTTTCTTCAACAAAGGCAATATGATCAGCATCTAATTATGATTTGATGTTTTATTTGATAGTTGAAACATCATTAGCAATCTTTTACATCCATTCTTCATTTGATCTTGCTCTACCATCAGCAACTACATTTTCTTCAACAAAGGCAATATGATCAGCATCTAATTATGATTTGATGTTTTATTTGATAGTTGAAACATCATTAGCAATCTTTTACATCCATTCTTCATTTGATCTTGCTCTACCATCAGCAACTACATTTTCTTCAACAAAGGCAATATGATCAGCATCTAATTATGATTTGATGTTTTATTTGATAGTTGAAACATCATTAGCAATCTTTTACATCCATTCTTCATTTGATCTTGCTCTACCATCAGCAACTACATTTTCTTCAACAAAGGCAATATGATCAGCATCTAATTATGATTTGATGTTTTATTTGATAGTTGAAACATCATTAGCAATCTTTTACATCCATTCTTCATTTGATCTTGCTCTACCATCAGCAACTACATTTTCTTCAACAAAGGCAATATGATCAGCATCTAATTATGATTTGATGTTTTATTTGATAGTTGAAACATCATTAGCAATCTTTTACATCCATTCTTCATTTGATCTTGCTCTACCATCAGCAACTACATTTTCTTCAACAAAGGCAATATGATCAGCATCTAATTATGATTTGATGTTTTATTTGATAGTTGAAACATCATTAGCAATCTTTTACATCCATTCTTCATTTGATCTTGCTCTACCATCAGCAACTACATTTTCTTCAACAAAGGCAATATGATCAGCATCTAATTATGATTTGATGTTTTATTTGATAGTTGAAACATCATTAGCAATCTTTTACATCCATTCTTCATTTGATCTTGCTCTACCATCAGCAACTACATTTTCTTCAACAAAGGCAATATGATCAGCATCTAATTATGATTTGATGTTTTATTTGATAGTTGAAACATCATTAGCAATCTTTTACATCCATTCTTCATTTGATCTTGCTCTACCATCAGCAACTACATTTTCTTCAACAAAGGCAATATGATCAGCATCTAATTATGATTTGATGTTTTATTTGATAGTTGAAACATCATTAGCAATCTTTTACATCCATTCTTCATTTGATCTTGCTCTACCATCAGCAACTACATTTTCTTCAACAAAGGCAATATGATCAGCATCTAATTATGATTTGATGTTTTATTTGATAGTTGAAACATCATTAGCAATCTTTTACATCCATTCTTCATTTGATCTTGCTCTACCATCAGCAACTACATTTTCTTCAACAAAGGCAATATGATCAGCATCTAATTATGATTTGATGTTTTATTTGATAGTTGAAACATCATTAGCAATCTTTTACATCCATTCTTCATTTGATCTTGCTCTACCATCAGCAACTACATTTTCTTCAACAAAGGCAATATGATCAGCATCTAATTATGATTTGATGTTTTATTTGATAGTTGAAACATCATTAGCAATCTTTTACATCCATTCTTCATTTGATCTTGCTCTACCATCAGCAACTACATTTTCTTCAACAAAGGCAATATGATCAGCATCTAATTATGATTTGATGTTTTATTTGATAGTTGAAACATCATTAGCAATCTTTTACATCCATTCTTCATTTGATCTTGCTCTACCATCAGCAACTACATTTTCTTCAACAAAGGCAATATGATCAGCATCTAATTATGATTTGATGTTTTATTTGATAGTTGAAACATCATTAGCAATCTTTTACATCCATTCTTCATTAGATCTTGCTCTTCCATCAGCAACTACATTTTCTTCAACAAAGGCAATATGATCAGCTTCTAATTATGATTTGATGTTCATTTTTATAGTTGAAACATCATTAGCAATCTTTTACATCCATTCTTCATTTGATCTAGCTCTACCATCAGCAACTACATTTTCTTCTAATAAATTTTAGTTATTTTTATTTTCTTTATTATTAATGATAATATACTTTATTTTGCAACATTAATATCTTTTCTTGTTTTATTTTTGCTTCCTTTGTTTTGAGTTTCTTCAATTAATTTAACACCTTATCTATCAACTTTATCTTGTTTTTCTTGGTTTTTTTTTTTTGATTAATTATAGCTATCTTTTTCAAGTAAACTTTCTGTTGCTGAAAAATCAACTTAATCTTTTTCATGACTTTCCTATTCACTTATTAATGTCTTCTATTATTCATTTTACTTCTTAATATGATGTTTATTTTCCGCTAGAACTTATTATGACCCTTCTTAGTTTTTCATAATATTATGGTGCCTTCTAATATTCGAACCCTATAATGTTGTAATTAAAAATAAGACAACAATAACTTTGAACATTTTTTTTATCGTTTTTGATTATTTTTGAAATTCACGAACTCACAATTCTTTTTATACTACATTTCGATGAACTAACAGATTAATTAATCGACTAGAATTAAAAATTTTTTAAATTTTTAAATCCATTACACATTCCTTGTTCCAAAATCTGAAGTCATTTATGATGTATAAAGATAAGCTAACTTAATAACTTTTTCGAAACTAATAGTTTCTCAAACATTATACTTTACTATATTTTATGAATTGTTGAATTTTTCATTTTAAATCCATTAAGTAGCTTTTATTTTTTTATCTTCTAAATTTGTTATTATGAAGCTGAGATCATTTTGTGATCTAATTTATCCTTGGTTTTCATTTCCAAAATAGCATTCAATACAAAACTTTATAAATTATCATCTAAACTTCAAATAAGTTCTTGGGATCATTTTTACTTTTAATTATTTGGATAGATGCTATGCTTTTCTAGATATATATCAATATTTTTAAGATGTTGCAAATAAAGGAAGAATTTTTTCTTTTCTAATCTTGATAAAAAGAAGATTTGTATATATTATATTTGAGGACCAATTATAATAAGGTTAATATCACCTTTACAAAACATTTTAAGACGATATTATAGATGGAAAACAATCAGAGAGTAAAATTCTAATTTTTAAGATTTTTATATTTCGAAAAAAAAAACTTCTCTAAGATTACAATTTATAAATAATTCTTTGCTTAGGATTGTTCAAAAATGGTTAGTAACTTCTTTCAAAAGGATATCTAGATGAAAATCATGAATTAACAAATTATTTCTTATTTTATTAAAATTAAAATATAATTAAATTTATAGAATAAATCCATAATTTTAATTAATAAGAGAATGAAGGTACATGTTAGTTAGTAACATGGATATTTTGAAAGTTATTACATAAGAGAGTAATTTGTTTAGTGTAGATGAATAAATTGTTAGTTTCAAAATATTTTGTTAAATGAGAATAATTAATTGAGAGTTTAGAAATAAATTTTACTATATATTTAAAAAAATTAATAATATAAAAGCTCTTTGTGAAACTAAATTATTAAATCAAACATCAATTCATATTTTTTATATATAATCATTTAATATTGCATCCGTAAAGAATATAAGAATATTTGATTGTAGCTTAAAATTAAGAAAATAAATGAGGAAAATCACTAATATAATATTAAATCTGATTCCATCAAATATTTCCAATAAAATAGGAAATGTTTATAATTATTTACAACTTCAATTCTTGTAAGTATTCAGGCAAACAAAGAAAAGCAATATCAATAAAACTGAAAATAAGACATAAACGCATAAAAATATTCAATTTTAATATTATGAATAGCTTTGTCAAAATGACAGAATACAAATATATTATAAAGTCCCTCAAATTAAGGTATTATAAGTGCAAAAATTTATTTATTTTTTTTTAATTTCTACCCTTCTATTTATGAAAAGATTAATAATAACCTTCAATTATAATTAATAAAATCGAACAAAATAATCATAAGCTATTGCTTAAAAATAGCTAATAGGGCCAGATATTCCAAGTTATTTCTTCCTCATTGATTGAATTTAAGATTTCCAAGAATTATTAATTCAAATATCATTCAATGAAGGTAGCAAATTTAGTTTTAACTTCTTTTCATATTGTGCCGCACCTTTCTATTAGATTAAGTTAAGAATAGTATGGATAGATATATATTTGTGTTATTAAACTTAAATAAGACTTTTCATTCACCGTGTCTGATGTAAGAGAGATTTTGTCATGACATCTGAAGAGGGAAGATGAAAATTATTTTTTAATTTATTAATCAAATGAGTATAATTCATACTCTTTCTTTGAATTTCAAGATCTCTAAATAGTGTTTCTCCTACTTCTTTTAAAACTCTCTTATTTTTTTTTAAATAGCAAATAATAATTATATCATTGCTTGTTCTTTTCTTTGAATAATTCTCCTTACATATTTGTTGGAGCTTACTTCTGAATTTTAATAACACAAACAATGAATGATTTTCTTAAAAGAAGAGCTGATTTGTAGAGCTCAATTCTAAAAATTAAGAGAAAACCTTTGAAAAAAGTCATAATTTAAGAGTTCCATATTCTCTTCAACACTTGAAACAAAATCCAAAAATTTTAATTAAAAAAAAATTGTTTGCAACAGACCCAAAACCAAAATTAAATATCTTCATTATCAATGTGGGCATAAGAAATTGAACCATGAGTGTTCGGCACTTAGTATATAATTTCAAACAAAATAGGAATGGCAATTCTTTCATATGCTGAGAATGCTTTTATTTAATTTTTCTATTTTTTATTTTTTCTAAGTTTTAGCATGACACAATAAAAAAGTAAGAGAAGAATAAGACTATTCACACTCACTTTAGCTTAACTCTGGGGCACAATATGATAATAAATTTATGCTAAAATGCTGTGAAAATTTACTGAATTTGAATTAAGAAATGGATAACTAGTTATATTTTGATCAATTTGGCCATTTTAGAGATTTAGAAAATTGGCTTTGATATTGTTCATTATAATGGAGTTATTATTAATTCCTAAACAATCTTTCCAAAAAGAGAAGGGGAACCATTGCCCAAAAATAAAAAATTACTTTTTTGCATTTATAATACCTATGATTTTCTTCTATGTCTTGAGAATCTTGGACTAATTCACTTTTAATTAAGAAAGTTGGCTAAATTTTTATACTATAATGAAATTCTGATCATGAATCAAATTTTGATCATTTCAACAAATAAAAATTCAAGAATTAACAAGAATGCCTTTTAATGCTTTCAAATAGCTTTAATAATATAATTTTAGTTCTATCCAAAAGTATTATCTCTTTGTTAATTTTATATACGAAATTTCACAACTAATCTTTCATTAAAATATAATTGCAATTAAATTTTTAATACTTTTAAAAATTCTTAATTTAATTAATATGACAATTACAAAGATATATAAATCTCCATCATGAAAATTCTGCAAATCCCTTTTCTTTAATTTTCATACTACGTTTATTTGATTCTAATTAAGCTATATTCATTAAATACTAAAATATCAATCTGAAGAATATTTAAATGACAAAGATTTTTGAATATTGATAAATTTAACTATTATACTAAGCAAGAGTTATTTTTATGAAGAAAAAAAAAATTGACTTTGTCAGTTATTTATTAATAGGAGAGGGTGAAAAAACTTAACAATNTATCATTGCTTGTTCTTTTCTTTGAATAATTCTCCTTACATATTTGTTGGAGCTTACTTCTGAATTTTAATAACACAAACAATGAATGATTTTCTTAAAAGAAGAGCTGATTTGTAGAGCTCAATTCTAAAAATTAAGAGAAAACCTTTGAAAAAAGTCATAATTTAAGAGTTCCATATTCTCTTCAACACTTGAAACAAAATCCAAAAATTTTAATTAAAAAAAAATTGTTTGCAACAGACCCAAAACCAAAATTAAATATCTTCATTATCAATGTGGGCATAAGAAATTGAACCATGAGTGTTCGGCACTTAGTATATAATTTCAAACAAAATAGGAATGGCAATTCTTTCATATGCTGAGAATGCTTTTATTTAATTTTTCTATTTTTTATTTTTTCTAAGTTTTAGCATGACACAATAAAAAAGTAAGAGAAGAATAAGACTATTCACACTCACTTTAGCTTAACTCTGGGGCACAATATGATAATAAATTTATGCTAAAATGCTGTGAAAATTTACTGAATTTGAATTAAGAAATGGATAACTAGTTATATTTTGATCAATTTGGCCATTTTAGAGATTTAGAAAATTGGCTTTGATATTGTTCATTATAATGGAGTTATTATTAATTCCTAAACAATCTTTCCAAAAAGAGAAGGGGAACCATTGCCCAAAAATAAAAAATTACTTTTTTGCATTTATAATACCTATGATTTTCTTCTATGTCTTGAGAATCTTGGACTAATTCACTTTTAATTAAGAAAGTTGGCTAAATTTTTATACTATAATGAAATTCTGATCATGAATCAAATTTTGATCATTTCAACAAATAAAAATTCAAGAATTAACAAGAATGCCTTTTAATGCTTTCAAATAGCTTTAATAATATAATTTTAGTTCTATCCAAAAGTATTATCTCTTTGTTAATTTTATATACGAAATTTCACAACTAATCTTTCATTAAAATATAATTGCAATTAAATTTTTAATACTTTTAAAAATTCTTAATTTAATTAATATGACAATTACAAAGATATATAAATCTCCATCATGAAAATTCTGCAAATCCCTTTTCTTTAATTTTCATACTACGTTTATTTGATTCTAATTAAGCTATATTCATTAAATACTAAAATATCAATCTGAAGAATATTTAAATGACAAAGATTTTTGAATATTGATAAATTTAACTATTATACTAAGCAAGAGTTATTTTTATGAAGAAAAAAAAAATTGACTTTGTCAGTTATTTATTAATAGGAGAGGGTGAAAAAACTTAACAATATCAATTAATAAATATTTTGGCCAATTAGAAAAATCTAAAAATAAATAAATATTAGATTAGTATTTCAATTATAAATATGAATTTATCATTTAATAAATGTCTTACATTTACTATACTTCCATATTTTATTTATTCTTATCCTTTAATTTGAATATTTTTTCAATAACTGTGATTTCAGTTGATGTTGTATCGAGACCTATTGGTATTAGTGTGATAAATACCATAAAAAGCTGCAACATCATTGACTACTAGTCCTGATGCAATAATATCACTTCCTCTACTAACAGTTCCTGCACATAATGGAATTCATAGTAAATTAGCTAATTCATCTAATTCTTCAAATGTAGTTAATGGATGAACAAGTCCTCCTTGGTTGTTAAAACAACAATAGGTTCCAACTAAGACTTATTATGCCACTGTAGTTCTGAATACTTCCAAATGTGTCAGCAATAATTTCCTCAGTTTCTTTATCTAAATCAGAGTGAATTAATGCAATATAATCATTGCAAGCAACACAATTTCCTAATGCTGATAGTTTTTCTTCTACTCTTTTAACCTATATTTTGATTGAGTATAATACCTTAACTTCATCTGGTAATGAATTCCTTATCTATTTTAATTCTTAATCAGTGCAAGTATTTGGAACTAGAAGTTCATTTTTGTTTCCTAAATAATTTGTTATTCAAATACCTGCAGTAAGACTTCCAATAATTCTTGTACCTCCAATTGAACAATGAATTACAGGCATGCTCAATCCTAATTCAGATTCATACACAGAATAGAAATTTTCACTTCCACCTAATGCAACTAAACAGTATGTATTTGTAAGTTTGGAAAAAACACCAATATCATTAGAATTTTCAAATTAGCCATAAATGTGCTTTATAAATATTTTTATTAAAATAAATATAGTGAAATAAAAAGTGAACTGAATTTTGCAGTTGGTATTATATAAATTCTAGTTTACCAGATGATAATAAATTATTTATGAATCCACTTTTAACAATTTTAAGCACTTTACTAATTAACTCTTTAGCATCAGTCATTATAGTTTATGATTAGAAGAATGACACAATTTAATAGACAGCTAATACTATTACTTTTAATATAACTGCAACTTTTCCAACATCTTCAGATATATAAGTAGATGTATAATTACCTAAACAAATAATTGGTTAAGAAAATATTGTATGTGGTGTAACAGGTTTGACCAATGGAGCTTGTAATTTAGTTTACAGTAAATTTATAATTACTTTTAAATCTGCCACACCTACTTTTCAAATTATATTTATAAATGTAAACAATCCTATAACTACATTTACTGATCCAGTATAATTAAATGCTTCAGTCATTTCTACAAAATCAGTGATTTTTACAGAGATTGTCTAACTAAAATTTTAGTTCAAAAATTTGCCAATATCTATAAATTAACCATCTATAACCTATATATCAGCTCCATTGATAATAAACATAGATGGCACTTCAATTACATATCCAACATAATCACAATTAATAATAACTACAAATGGAATTATGGATAATTAAGCTAAATTAAGCGGGATAATATTTGACTCCATAAAATTTTAAGATAATAAAATAATTATCACTAATGCTTAACTACTATCTAATGCAAAGTCTTCTATAACTATTTCGAAATTTATGATTAAATCTAATGAACCAATAAGCTATAAAATAGAGATATTAGACTCTAATAATGGATATATTACAATGTTTTCAACATCTCAAGTAGTTTAAACAATAAATAGTAACTATGATTACACTTTGTCCACAGAAAATTAAGTAGTTGGAATGGCAACAACAATAAAAGTTATAATATGCAATCTTGATGAATAGAGTAAGTTTATATTCACTTCTTCGCTTGTAAAACTTAATTATGTTACTTCATATGAATCTAATTGTCATAATACATTGTTTTAACAATTTATTAATCCTCTTTCTTTGAGTACTATTAGTTTTGATGTATAGGTTACTCTAAATAATTATGATAGTATCAAAAGATCTATCTCATATACTCCAGTTAAGGATATTATATAAATGACTATGTCTTAGAACACAACAATAATGTTAAATTATGCCTTAGTTATATTATCTTTGTAATTAAATTAACAATTTAGTAATTTTTATATTGAATTGACAAACTAATATTAAACAAATAGTTGTAAAATTTAGGATGTAGATTGTTCTTAAATTAATAACATTTACAAATCTAATCTATTAGAATAAAAGTTAAATAAAGTCATAATTAAATTAGAGATCTTATTACCTGGTTGTGATTCTTATTAATTTTAGACTAAACTCATATATTAAAATTAAGAATTAGCAACATCTAATTAAGTTATTCCATAATTAGTTAAATACAAATTAGCTTCAACATTAAGTACATCATCTTTTAATATTGGAGAAGAATCAGTTTTTACAATAAATGGGTTGGATTCAACATAAATTACAAAATATTATATTTCAACTACTTTAACCGATTTAAAATGTTAAGATTGCATCTCAGTTGAAAATTAATTATAATATGGTTAGGTTAGCAATATTTAATTTTCAGCTAATAATTTTTAAAATGTAAAGCCTTATACTATTACAATAATAGCCTACAAAGATTAATGCTTGATAGCTGAATAAATTTTTAGATAGTCAGCAATTCCACAATTATTATAATTATCTGTTATTACTGATAATAATTACTAATAAGCCTAAGGTAATTGGCAAGTTACTATTGCTCCTGATTTGTAAGATAAAGGTATATTGAGAACTCCATTTATATTGCCAAATAATTAGGAAAATAAAATTAATGCCTCATCTATGTATATCAATTAAACATAATATTCTTTAAATATGACTAATTAATACTTTGATAAAGAATAAAATTATTGGGAAGTAGGATATTATAGAGATGGATATGTATATGCTTATGGTAATTTGACCTTACCATAATTGGATATCATGGAATTTAAAAATTTGAAAATAACTAAACAAAATACATAAATAAATGAAACAGATAATATCACTATAACTTTTGATACTTATTTCGATATTCCTGTCAATGGTAAATTACAATTAGATATAGACAATTTATTATTAAGCAATATTACTTTAAATGGAGAAGATATCAATAATTAAGTTATAATTCCTAAAGGAAATTAAGTATTAAATTTTAAAGTATCCTTTATGAATCCAATTAGTAATTATTCTGAATTTTTTAATCTTACTTCATTTAATGAATTAGGAAGAATTTTATAAAAATCAAATATAAAATATGCTTTTAATTATGGTTGCAGTATCGAATAATGTGGAGTTTGTAATCTAACCGATTGTATTGCATGTAAATCCACATTTACATTAATGAATAATACATGTTAGTTAATATGTAAAGAAAATCAAATTATTGTAAATAATACATGTGTAAATAATTAAAGTAATAATAATAATAGTAATAATGTAAATGATACTAATAATTCAAATAATAATACTATCAATACTAATAAGACAGTAAACATAGTTAATCAGAATGGAGAAGATTCTTTTGTTTTTACTCCTCCAATAATTAGTCCAATAGTAGTTTTTATTTTTTTATTTGCTTTATCTCGCAAATGTTGGAGTAGTGAATCAGAAACTTTTATAATATTTTATTCTTTAGCATCTATAATGGAACATATAATCCATATATTTCTATTTATTTATTTCTTTGTTACTCTGGATTTGATATATGGATTTTGTATGATTTCAGTAATTGTGTTGCATTTTTCATCATAAATTTACATAGTTTTCATGAATTTATTCAAGATAGATCCAGAGTATATTGGAATTCGCTAATAAAGTAATTGGTTTAAGATTCTCCATATTATTTCATTAACTTTTTGTGGAAGGTTGCTATTGTTATTAATAAGCAAATTTGACTAATCTTATGTTTGGTCAACTCCTTGGACATTCAAAATATCTGTGCTTCAAAGATTGTCTAATTATTTGAAATTTCAAATAATAGCTTAGATTGGTGTATTAACATTAGTAATATTAGTGATATTACAAAAACTATTTCTACTTTACATTGAAATTCTTAGTTTTCAAATTATACAAACTGTAGTTACACTCTATACTTTTAATCATTTGAGAAATCAAAAAAATTAAGAAATTAGATACACATATGTTTGATTAAATATAGCTTAATATATATATATTATAATTAATATTTAATGATTCTAATATATAATGTGATAACGACTTATAATCATAATTTAGTTATCTTATTCTTATTAATTATAAAAATGCTGAACTCATCTATTCCTTCATCAAAAAAAAGAATATTATGGACAGAAAATGTATAGAATATGTTTACAGTAGGAAGACAAACTCTTAAAGTAATTAGTCCATAAATTCCAAAATGAAAGGCTTGGCTGGAAAAAAATATCTCAAACTCTTAGAAAATAAGGCTATAATAGAAATACAAAGGCTTGTAGAGAGAGATTTTTCAATCACCTTGATAATTCATTCAATAAAAGCGAGCTCAGTACACATGAACTTGATAAACTATTTGAACTCATAAAAATTCATGGAAACAAATGGGTATAAATTATGAATAATTAGACTTGTGTTGCTTAAGAGCTTAATCATAGAACAGATTAAGATATTAAGAATAAATTTTATGCTCATGTTAAAAAAGTATTCAGGCGATTATTAAAAGCCACTTTTTAAACAACTGAAAGTAAAAACTAATATTTTTTATATAGGTTCAATAATTACATCAAAATTATAACCTTTATTGATATCAAGTATATTTTGTAATGAAAATGAGATGGATCATAAGAAAATTAATATTTAAAATGATATGAAAGAGCTTTTTCAAAATCTCATTAGACAAAATAAATCAATTTCTTAAGGAGAATAAATAAATGATGAAACTAGAGAAAAAGTTAGGCAAATATCATCATATTTGGATAAAGAAAAGTATTAAAAATAATAATTTTTAGTTAAATATACCTATTAAATAAAATTACAAGAAAAGAAAATAAATAATTGACAAAAAATAAACATAATGGCCAAAAAGCAAAAATTGTCTATGATGAAATTCATCAATAATAGATTTTAAAAAAGATCTAAAAGAAATAACCCATCTTTTTGTATTAATAAAAAAAATTAGAATTCACATACATAGATTTTGATACAAATTTTGAGAATGCATTTAATGAATATCAATTTGATAAAATATTTGAAAATGGATCTCTATTCTAACAATAATAACTAATTTCAAGTATGCCATTTAATTGGCATCAACCTTCTATTAAATTAGATTCAAATCAAGTAAAATTTTATTAATCAATAATAGTAATCTGAATTATCGTACATTCCCATTTCGACCAATTCATATAATTATTCAACTATTTGGAATATTTGAGAATATATAATTATATTTGTTTTAGATGAATAAAAAATGTTGCTTCAAATATTTTTTGTTTTTTATTAATTCTATAAATTTGAAACGCAGAATAAATTATTTTATAAGTTCTCTTTTATCTTTTTAATAAGGATTTAACAAATTATTCTCTAATAAGTAATGCAAATTTTAAGCAAAGAATTCGAGCTCCTTTTGGTCTAAATTATTAAAACAAAAAATTTGAGTTCCAGAATTTATCAGATTATTATTTATATTATAAATAATTATTACAAAAATTTAAATTAAATTCCTTATAAAAATGATCATTGCCCAAAAATGTTCTAAACATTTACATATTGTATGTAAATAAAAATTATAGAAAATTAAATTTTATATCTTATTCTAATTAAGGTCAACGAAATAATATTTACAATATTTAATTTATTAAAAAAAATCCGTTCATAACAAACAAAAAAAATAAAAATATTAATTAATTATTGAATAATCACTAATTATTTATCTTAATTTCAATAATATTAAAAATGATTATCCAAAGTTATAATTATAAATAAACAAGAAATAAATATCAAAAATAACTATTAAATTAGTTGAATAAAGATTAATAAGTTTTATCATAAAATATTTTTCAATATATTAATTTTATTAATCCTTTATATATTATTTATAATAACAGAGATTAATATAGAGAAATTAAAAGCAATCTTGTATATTTAATTCTATTTTAAAAATACTTCTTTAATTTATAGAAATGATATTACTAAGATAATTTTAATTTACAAATTTTTTTTTATTATAGAATTAATAATAGAAAAAATATAAATATTATTTATAATTTAGAAATAAAAACACATATTATTTTTTTCATTTTCTTGATTTATTTCTAGATTTATCATGATAAGATTATTGCTCTTAATTTTTTGATGCTTATAAATCTTTTTTGTTTTTTAATTTATCTTCATAAAATGTATATTTGTTATTGTTTCTCCATTTCTCTTATTTTTTCTCTTTTTTTAAGTTTAATTCTTTTTTAAATTTACTTTATTTATTGCTAAACAATTTCCTTTTTTTTGATGTTGATATAACAGACTCATTACTAGAACTACTTGAACTATTGGAACTACTTGAACTACTAGAACTACTTCTAGAATATTTTCTTTTTTTTAATTAATTTTTATTATTATTATTATTGTTTAAAAGTGTATTTGAAAGAAGATTATAACATAATTATTTTACAATTGGATGAGTATATTTAGTATCACCTTTAATTCCTGGTATTTTTCCATTGTTAATCTTATTAAATAATTCTTATGTTGTTTATATAATCTAAACAATATTTAGATTAGTATTTTTAGTATCATCTTCTTATTTAGTTATATCTTTATCTTCTTACTTAGTTATTTCTTAAACTTCTTATTTATGTTAACAAAAATCAGAAGTCTTAATTATAATTGGTTATATTTGTTCATCTTTTTTTATAGTTTCTTCTTGATCTTTTAAAATTTCATCAAGATCCCATTCATCAGCTGTACTTGATTATTGTTATTTAACTTCAATTTACATTTATCCAATAGGAAAGGATTGACATATGGCTTTTGCAATACCATGTTAAATTTTGAATCCCTCATATAATTCAAGAGATGGAAAATCATATATAGTTTTAATGGATGGCTATTTTCTTAGCCATTGAATTTTAAAAGTCTTAAGTTTTGGGAATTATTAATCATATACGACAAGTTGATTGATCATTTTAGCACAACCAACTAATTCATCATTATTAATAAAAATCAATATAACATTTGCAGGAATATTACATTCTTAAGCTAATTTCAAGTATGTGATTTCTTTGACTGTCCAAACAGAGAATCTTTTAGCATGAGCTAAATTATTTTTGTTTGATTTCATAAGGTAGAAGACAGAATTAAATGTAATAAATTCATTACAGGAAGGCTCTGGTACAAATGTTTGAAATGATTCTGTATATTTATAATGACATTGGGAATTGATATTAAAGAAACATTTGGATTTCTGACAAAATATATTCTCACATGTAGAGCAGATAGATTTTTAACAACAAGGAGTTAAAATCTCTAGATCTTTAGAAAAACAGGAAAGACAAACATTTCTTCTTTTTGGAATTCGAACTAATATTATCATTTGTTTGTTTCTAATTTCATCACTAATATTCAAAATCTTATTTTCATATAACATTTGGATATCATCTTTTTTAGAGTTGAACATTTATTCAATTTTTATTCTTAGATCTCTTACTTAGATTTTGATTCCTTATATTGGTATTGTTTAAACTTCTGAACTATTTTCCCATTTAAATGTTATTGAATTCATTTTAAATTAATTATTAGGTAAGTATTCAATATTGGAATTTAATTAAAATTAAAAAAAATGTATGTAATAATTTGTACAATACCTTTGAAATATAATCAATTATAAAAAAAATTGAAAGAACGTTTTTCTGTCATACCTACTGATGGACTCTTGACAGAATTAAAGCTCTTTTCACTAGGAATGAAACTAGGATGAACAGTTAATTAATGTGGATTCTTTTTTTAAGACAAACCTCTACTAGATTCAAAACTATAAGATGATTATCTTTCTTTAGATAATGTAGGTTATCTTTCTTTAGAATGTGTAGTTGTGTGTCGTTCATTTTTTATAAGAATTTTATCAACTTTAAAAAACTATGGTTCTCTTTGTTTTGTTTAAGCATTTGTAGTAGTGAAATAAGTAGGTTTTGGTATAATAGCCTAAATTAGGTAAATAATTACTTTAGTATTATTTTATTTAGAATTGTTTTTAAGATGAGAAAAATCAAAATAAAGCTATTATTTAATTTAACTAGTAGGAGTAATATAAGACATATTTTTCGTTATTGTATTTAGATCTTCTTATAAATCATCTGGTAATTTATGTTTCTTTTTGATTTCTTCATTTTCTTAATTTTATTGTTGTTTTTTAAACCAAGGATAATTCAATAATTCTACAACAGTAGGTCTTTCATCTGGATCAATAGTTAACATTCCATATAATAATGCAATTGCTTCTTTAGATATATCATGAAGGATTGTAAATTCACCTGATTATATTTTATTATATAATTCTGTATCAGTATCTCCTTTGAATGGAAATACACCTTATAACATTGTGTATAACACTACTCCTAATGCCCATACATCTGATTTGTCTCCTCTATATTCTTATCTTGTAACTATTTCTGGTGCCATATAACTTGGAGTACCACAAAACATTTTGACTTTTTTTTCAATAGGGAAAGATGTTGAAAATCCAAAATCTATCAATTTAGGATTGAGCCCTTCTAATAAGATATTTTCTAATTTAATATCTCTATGAGCAATGTTCTTAGAATGACAATATTGAATTGCATCTAAAATTTATTTGAATATTCCTTTTGCAATTTCTTCTTCTAATCTTTTTTCCTTTAGATTTAAATTAATATATTACTAATTACTTCCTAACCAAATGGTGTAATGAATGACCGCTAACATATTCTAATATTATATTCACATGATTATTTGATTCTACAGTATCTAGAATCTTAACTATATTAGGATGATCTAATTTCTCTAATATCTCTATTTCTCTTCTCACTCCTTTTCTTCTCTATAAATCTTTAATCTTAGTTTTTTCATATATTTTTATTGCCACTTTTGTGTCACTCTCTATCTATATTGCAATTCTCACTGTAGCATATGCACCTTAACCAATACGACTGCCCACCTTATATTATGCCTTGAATTATTCAGTTTTATTTGTATCATCATCTGGTTGATTGATTAGGAACTTTACTCTATCACAAATATTCTGTTTTTTAAAATCAAATTTAAAGTATTCAACATTATCTCTCTTCTCTACTTTACAAAATTTAGATTGCAGTATTTAACTAATTGCATCCAAATTCTTTAATTGCTGATTCTTTAGATTCATAAGTAAATCCTATTGCAAGGGTGGTCGATACTTGAGGGCATATTGATTCCCAATACATTTCTCATTTTCCTTTTGATTTAAACTATTAGTTGCAGCTCTATGCTTCATTGCAATTTAAAATAATTAACAGTCTCATTATAATTAAATATTGTATAAAACATTCTTTAATATTATAAAAAGAGATAACTATAATAATAAAAGTCTCTCTTTTAACAATACATACATATATATATATATCTCCTCATTATTTAAATAATATGAATTCTTCANGAAAAATCAAAATAAAGCTATTATTTAATTTAACTAGTAGGAGTAATATAAGACATATTTTTCGTTATTGTATTTAGATCTTCTTATAAATCATCTGGTAATTTATGTTTCTTTTTGATTTCTTCATTTTCTTAATTTTATTGTTGTTTTTTAAACCAAGGATAATTCAATAATTCTACAACAGTAGGTCTTTCATCTGGATCAATAGTTAACATTCCATATAATAATGCAATTGCTTCTTTAGATATATCATGAAGGATTGTAAATTCACCTGATTATATTTTATTATATAATTCTGTATCAGTATCTCCTTTGAATGGAAATACACCTTATAACATTGTGTATAACACTACTCCTAATGCCCATACATCTGATTTGTCTCCTCTATATTCTTATCTTGTAACTATTTCTGGTGCCATATAACTTGGAGTACCACAAAACATTTTGACTTTTTTTTCAATAGGGAAAGATGTTGAAAATCCAAAATCTATCAATTTAGGATTGAGCCCTTCTAATAAGATATTTTCTAATTTAATATCTCTATGAGCAATGTTCTTAGAATGACAATATTGAATTGCATCTAAAATTTATTTGAATATTCCTTTTGCAATTTCTTCTTCTAATCTTTTTTCCTTTAGATTTAAATTAATATATTACTAATTACTTCCTAACCAAATGGTGTAATGAATGACCGCTAACATATTCTAATATTATATTCACATGATTATTTGATTCTACAGTATCTAGAATCTTAACTATATTAGGATGATCTAATTTCTCTAATATCTCTATTTCTCTTCTCACTCCTTTTCTTCTCTATAAATCTTTAATCTTAGTTTTTTCATATATTTTTATTGCCACTTTTGTGTCACTCTCTATCTATATTGCAATTCTCACTGTAGCATATGCACCTTAACCAATACGACTGCCCACCTTATATTATGCCTTGAATTATTCAGTTTTATTTGTATCATCATCTGGTTGATTGATTAGGAACTTTACTCTATCACAAATATTCTGTTTTTTAAAATCAAATTTAAAGTATTCAACATTATCTCTCTTCTCTACTTTACAAAATTTAGATTGCAGTATTTAACTAATTGCATCCAAATTCTTTAATTGCTGATTCTTTAGATTCATAAGTAAATCCTATTGCAAGGGTGGTCGATACTTGAGGGCATATTGATTCCCAATACATTTCTCATTTTCCTTTTGATTTAAACTATTAGTTGCAGCTCTATGCTTCATTGCAATTTAAAATAATTAACAGTCTCATTATAATTAAATATTGTATAAAACATTCTTTAATATTATAAAAAGAGATAACTATAATAATAAAAGTCTCTCTTTTAACAATACATACATATATATATATATCTCCTCATTATTTAAATAATATGAATTCTTCAATATATAATGAATTAAATCTATCCAATAATATAATATTATAATTTATATATAGAATTTGTTAAATATTATATCAAGTTTCTCTAATAGGAATCAAATAATTGAATATTATTATTATATTATATAGAAAATAATTACTATAATAATTCTATATTCATTTAGTTTCTAATGAAATTAATCATATATAATATTAAAGTTATTTAAATATTAAGATTTATTAATATATTTTATTGGTATTATTTTGTTGACTTAATCAACAATATTATATTATCCAAAAATCTCTCTTTTTTTTGTTGAACAATTATTGTATGCTTTCTACTTTAGTAATAATATAATATTCGAGAAATTCATAGCTTTAATTAAATGATTTTGAAATTTCCAAGGACTTAGTATGATTCACATAATAATAAACTGAATATTAATTAATCTAATGAACAGCTTAGGTATTTAGAATAATAGATTTCATCAACAGGCTATTGAAAATCGTCTGAAAAATTAATGTAATGAATACTTCATTATGAATAACGGAAAAAAGAAATAAAAAAATGAATATTATGAAAAATGGTTGAAATAAAGAGAGATGTAATCAAATGCATCTACAGAAACATATTTAGACATAATTACACCCAATCTTCCATAAGCTAAAATTCCTAATACATTTTAAGTTAAGTTGATGAATGACATTTTAAATAATAATAAGAACTCAATGAATTATTGATATATAATATTGTTTATATATATATAAATCATTTAATAAAATATATTTTAAACCTAAATATTTGAACCTTTATCAATTTATAATTCACTATTTAATAAAATATCATCTCTGATATCTTAAATATTTATGAATTCCTATATCATTTTTGATATAAACATCAATATTCTGCAAAATAATAAATTAAAAATGAATCAAACTAAAATATTTGAAACAAGAAAACGAAAGAGTTAATCTGAATCTGAAATAAAGAATATATGCTTCATAACCTTTGAATATATGCCAATAGAAAAATATCCAAATAAAAAATCACAATCATAAGAATAACTATTAGAATATTTTAGTATAAACTATATATTTATAGAATCTAGGTGATGAAGATAGTCTAGATGATTAATCGATGTAATTGGATTGCCAAATTAATTCAAATACTATAATTAATTATCAATAGGTTCCATCACTTGTATCTATTTATACATCTGAAAGTAATATAAGTGCTGAAGAAGAATTTGAAATTTGGGATGATAATTCAGATTTAAGAGTCTTAAAAATTATTTTAGAAGACTAATAGCCATCAATAAGATAATTTTTATAATTGTACAAAGCAAGATTTGGGTATTTCTATAATATAATTTAAGTGGATTTCCAGGACAGTAATAATGCATATAAAATGAGGAAGTGATAAAGACTGCTATAAATTATGCCTCCACTAATAAACAGTTATTTAAGAAATATTTTCCAACAAAAAAGATTGTTTTTGAAGATGATATTGATTATTCTGAACCTTATAAAATAGAAGAAGATCATCATTTTTAAACTTTCAATGACTTTTTTAAAGGAAAGAGAGCAAAATTATTAATGGACTTTTGAATATTGATTATATTATACTCATTTATTTCATACTTTGCAATTAAATCTAATCTGTTCATTTGTTTCTCTATATAAATTTTATTCTGAAATGGTACTTTAATTACTGCCAATTCTAAATTTTTATAATTTTTCTAAGAATTACTTATTCTTTCATCATATTCTTCAAACATTAAATTACCAATCTTTTTCAATATATTCTAAAGTTAAATCTTTAAATACATTTTTAGATTACTTATTTATATTATACTTATAATTTCATAATACTATGAATTTCTTTATCAGCATCCTTTCTGCTTGATATTCAATCTTATTTCATGTAGAATCTTGTATATAAACAGTAATTTACTTGTTTAATAAATTAAGGTTCTTTATCTGAACCTATTATAATAAATAAGGCTACTCCTTAAGGTCTGGAAATTCTTATTTTATCGTTGAATCACTTTCCTAAAATCAATTGCAAGAACACAAACTAACTATGTGACTACTGTCATATTAAATGGTTCTCCATAATTTAATTACGATTCCGTTCTTGCATATTCAACAAATAATCTATCATCAGGAATGAAATTTAGGAACAGCTTTTGTAAAATCAGTATCAATCTCATAATCATATTCTTTGATTTCAAAAGTAATGAATTTAACTATTTTTCTCTTGCCAAAAACCTTCATTCACTTTTATTGCCAATCCACTTTTATCCAATATTACTACTTGTTAGAAATATTCCAATCAACATTTAAGCATTTCTTAAGAGAATGCGTTTAACAACTCTATCATAATCAGTTCTATTAGATATTCTTAAATATAGTATTTATTATGAAACATAAATCCCAATATGAATTATTTATTGTAATAATAATCATTATTTTGGCAATACATATGTATGCCCTGTCATAAAAATTTAGTTTCCACTACTAGGATCAACCTGGACTTATTCCAATTACTAATACAAAGGTCTTGGATCATTTTGTAAATCTGTATAAATTATAATTTATATAAATTACTTCTTCTCAAATCTACATCTGGTGTTTAGAGTCCACTAATAGATCTACCAGGAAGACGAGTATCTGAATCTCCAAATTGATATGATTAATTATCAAATTGTTATTCTTATCTCTATTGAGCCTCAGGTTCTTCCTCTTCTTCTTATTCTACTTCACCTTCATCCTCTACCTCTTCTATCTTACCCCATAATGATTTATCTACAGGTGCATCAGCTTATAATCCTGTTTTTTATGATAATTCATTTAGATCCTCTTCATCATAATATTTAAATGTAGCATAAAGTCCTGGTTAATCTGCTTTTTTGCATGAATCTTCAATTACTTATTTCACAGAAGTATGATATGAAGAAGGTTCAGCAAAAATACTAGCCATTCCAATAAATCTCATATGAGGATAACTTGGAGGAGGTCCATATCTTTACATATTTGGTAACCAAGGAGGTGCTTAAAAATCAGTACATCCTAATGCACTTCTCAATTCAGCACTCATTTTTCCAGGACAAAAGTTTTTTGCTCTCATTTCTTCTTCTTTACCTTCAAAATAGATTTCACCATGTTTTGTCATTATTGGTTTTGTCTAATATTTAAAGAAAGCATCATGTAATATCTAATAATCTATATCTAATTTTCCTTATTTTGGATTCATTCTTTCTCTTAATTTCTATCTAACCATCTTACCTCCATCTCTATCTACAAAAGGATCTCTCAACTTTGCAATTCCTGTTTTTTCTATATAATCTGGTAATTAAAATGGTTCTTTCAATATTCCTCTTTTATTTTACAAATATTTTCTTTTTTATGACCAATGTCTAGGAACAGTTACTGAATTACGTACACTTTTCAATTAAATTAAAAACATAGGATCTGGAGATGTGATATCCCAAAATTCGACAAGATCTGGTCTCTTTACTTTCTATTTTAATTCTGCTACTTTTAACCATCTTAATTATTTTCTTTATTTTTTTGATAATTTAGCTTCTTTCTTTTTTCCCTATTATAAATAATTTTAAATTGTTTAATTCGGTTCATGTATTTATTATTGAATTTATTATTGTTATTATTATTACTACTATTCAGCTGCTTATTATTCTTCTTATTCTTTTTCCTTTTCTTTTTCATTCTCATAAACCTTTTCATATGTCTTCATCATCAATCTTTCAGTATGTTAATTGAAATTATCAAAAACCTGTTTAAAATTGTCATAATGTTTTCCTGTAATAAGAGCATCTATCTACACTATTCAATCTGATATATACTTCTATCTCTTGAAAGGTCTCTTCATCATATATAATCTATTCTTCATCACCTTTGACTACCTCCTCTATAATTTCTTACTTTTCTTTAGTGCATTTCTTTTTGCTCTTATTGTTTTTTCTTCTCTCAGCTCTTTTGAATTTCTCATACTCTTCCTTTGACAACTTACTCTTGGTTACTTCTGCCTTCATTAATAAAATAATTAATATATATTAAGAATAGTAATGATAAATAATAAGAATATAATAATAATAAAATAATAAATATATCAACAATTATACACATATAATTTATTAGTCGATCCTCCAAATAGTATTTTATTATCTATCCATGTACAAGCTAATGCTTTACCTTCTCCATTCAATTAATACAATGGTACTTCTCCTCTTAAATCCCATAAGTATGTATTTCCATCCATAGAACTCTAAATTGGATTAATAAAATATAATACCACTATAATTTATCCATTAGCATTAACAGCAATACAAGTCAACTAAGACAATGAGCTCTTATATATTTTTATTAATTATTCACTCAAACTATCCCACAATTTTAAATAACCATCCTCATGAATAGATACAATTTATTAATTATTTTCTAAATAACATAATCCAATGATAGCTGAATCTTTAGCAAATAATTATTTATTAATAGTTTCTGTTCTCTTATTGAAAATACAAATGGAATGATCATATGATCCAGTCAATATAGTGCTATTTCTAATCCATTAACAACATGTTATTTATTATTAATGAACTTTAAAGTTCTATATCATTTCAATTACCTATTATTTTACTGTATTAAGATCAAAGAAAATAAGTTCTCCATTAGAAGTACCAACACAAAATTCATTAGTGTTCTTTTTATTGATACAACTACATTCTCCATATGATGGTAAAGAACCTTATGCTATCAATTCCAAATTATCTGTAAGTCTTTAAATTCTAACAGTACAATCCCAATGAGTTGAAATTATAAGATTATCAAAAATAGTAAAACTCTTTGCCATTTTAGTTTTGTATGTTTTCAAAATTTTACCTTTTTCAGAACAAACAACTATATCTCCATTAGATAAACATGTTAATATTTGATTATTTAATTTACCTATTGCTATGATCCAATCATTCATATTTATAGTTTGCTTAAGTTTAGGTTCTGGTACAGCAAATAAATATTCTATTTATAATGTTTTTTCAGTTGCAATTTCATTTGATGTAATGAATTCATGTAGAGTAGATCTTAAACTGATTCCATTAATAAAGAAATCAAATAATTAATTATATTCTTAATCTGTGTTCTCAGCTGACAATAATTATTAAATTAGAGAACTAAGATCACTTTAATTCATATCTCCTTGAACAGCTATTTCATTATTGCTAATTTAATATTCTTATGGCAAACTTGTGACAAATTTCACTATATATTCACTATTGTTCATTAATAAAAATTTAATGCTTTTCTTTATATTAATTTCATTGGTATAATCAATTGATGTAAGACCAAATGTCAATCTGACTATTGGCTTAGATTTTATGGACAACTCCCATTTGCCATTTTTTGAACAATTTCAACCATATTTCTTAGATTTCAAACAAAAAGGATGTAATCTAATTCTTAATATTATATTAGTAAATCTAATAATAGCATAACACTTATTACCTTGTTACAGTTGTTTTACTAGACATTAATACAAATAGCCAGAATCAAATTGTTTTGGAGGAGGTTAGTATTGTTGTATAAAATATATCTATTACAAGAGTTTTCTGAATCAGTATCAGGTTAAACTATTTTGACAGAAATGCTCAGATAATAATGTATATTAGAAGAAGAACCTCAATATTATTTTAATTATACTATTTATTTCTCTTAACAATGTATGCAATTACCTAGTGAAATGAAGTCATGTTCTGAAAATTACTTTTTAAATAATAATATTTCTACTCAATCTATAGACAATTGTATTGAAAATAGTTTTGAAGGTCAATCAGATTAATTTTAATCCTTAAAAACTAATAGAATCTTAGATTAATATAAATAATTACAGTACAATAAAACTAAATTTGCATTAAATTTAGATGATTAAGATTTAACCAATACTCCATTTAAATAAATTATGAATTAACTTTGCAAAAAATTTGAATATGCTTCTATTCCAGCTTGTGGAGTTATAAAAGCAGATTCAATTCAAAAAACTAATTTGTTAGAAAAAATATTCTTAGTTCTTTTTGCAATCATTATTATTTTGATTATAGTTCAAGGGACTTTATCATTATTTTCAAATCTGTAATTTAAAACATTCTTTAGTCCTAAAAGTAGAATTACAATCCCTAAATTAGAAAAAGATCATATAATTTAGGATGATGATGTTTGATTGATAATTTTTCAAGTTTAATAACAATTTCATAGTATTTATTATCATGATTTAATCTCTTTAATTTTAAACCTTCTCTAAATAATGAAAAATATATAAATATTATATAATAATTTAAAATCATCTAATCATATAAATTGAAATCAAAATTATTAAATTTGATAGAAAAATTGATACTTAAAAAAAGTGATATTTCATTTTATTTTAAATTTAATTGTCTAATTTTTATGATTATATACTTTTTATAAAATAAATGATAAACTGTCATTAAAATCAACGATAAAATTTTTACAATTTTGTTTTTGGATTTAATAAGGAACAAAGATCTACTTCTATGAAAGTTGAAAGACTGAAATAAATTACAGAAATCAATGAAATAAAATAGGATTATTAAAAAGGATTGTAATTGGGAAAAACAAGTGAAAATGCATTGAGGATTATACATTTGAAATTAGAAAAGCAAAGATTAAGAAGGAAATCACTTGAAACTAAGACAGAAGTTGAAGAAGAACATCTTCCTTAAGTTCAATAAGCTTCAAAACCACCTTTACCTCGCAGGACTATAATTGCCAATAAAGAAAATATTATTCAAATGCCAAATATCATATAAAAGTAAAAGGAAGTTGCAAAATAAAGATAGACAAAAAAGAGAAGACTATCTTAAAGAATAAAAATGAAAAAGAGTGAGCCTACTCTTGAATTTAGTCCTTGGGAGAATTATGAAAATTAAGAATTCGATTTTTTTTGAAAATGAATGTGATTATAATTAAAATTTCATGCAATAATAATATTCTAATAGTACAATATAGGATTTCAATATACTTGAGAAATTGGGAGAAGGATCCTTTTCTTCCGTATACAAGGTATGTTGAGAATTGATACCTCTAGGTGTAAAGAAAATCGGATGGTTTATATTATGCTATGAAGAAGGTGAATATTTCACAATAGAGCCTGAAAGAGAGAGAGAATGCTTTAAATGAAATTAGAATATTAGCATCTTTAGATTCTCCTTATATAGTAGAATTTAAGGATGCTTTTATTGATTAAGATGGAAGAATTCTTTATGTAATTATGGAGTTTGCATCTGGTGGGGACTTAAATCAAATTTTAAAATAAGGAAAGTTATAGGGAGGAATATAAGAGAGTGAAATTTGGAATATATTAACATAGATCACACTTGGAGTGAAAATATTGCATGAGAATGGCATTTTACATCGGGATCTAAAATCAGCAAATGTATTTGTATCCTAAACTCCTAAAGGAAATATTTATAAAATAGGAGATATGAATATAAGTAAAGTTACTCATGGAGCAAATGCTAAGACCTAGACAGGAACTCCATGTATTGATATAAATTTATACAATAGATTATGCTGCACCTGAAGTTTGGAAGGGTGAATAATATTCATGGCCTTGTGATATTTGGTCTATTGGTTGTATAATCTATGAATTAACTACATTTCAGCCTCCTTTTAGAGCTGCAGATCTTTTAACATTAAACAAAAAGATTTAAGCAGGTTAATATGATCCTATTCCACCAAAATTTAGTTAAGATTTATAGGATGTTTTAAAGATTCTTTTATAAGTTGATTCCAAGAATAGACCAAATTGTGATTAAATTCTTAAGAATCCAAAAGTAATTAAGAATAGTGGATCATTATTAGTAGAAGTGGAGTAGAATGGTGTTAAGTAAGCAAAATTATTATAAACAATAAAACTCCCTTTTAATTTAAAATAATTAAAGGATAATTTACCAAAGTCTAAATATGAAACTAAGATCTAAAGATCTCATTCTTAATAAGGGCTTAAAATTGAGACAGATAATCCTGTATCTTAATAACCTCGAATAAAAATGGATATATAATAATAATAATAATAATTAAAAAAAAAATTAATTAGTGTACCATCATAAGGTGCTCCATTAAAAAACAAACCTCCTTTGGCCAAACCTTAAAATGTCTAAGCTTAAAAATTTGAATATCATCCTTAGACTCCTTAATATTATGGATAAAAAATACAATATTAAGATTAAAAATAGTAGTTGTATACATATCTTATTTATTAAAGAAATCATGGACAATAATTTTGTAAACCAACATTTTTGAAACAAAATTATGGTATTCGAGACATTTCCCCTAGGAATCAGAATAATATTTATCTATAATAGAGAGTTGGATAATAGCCTCAATATAATATGGGAAAATAAATCTAACATAAAAGACAATATAGTGCTGGAATATATGGAAGATAATAAATAAATAAATGAATTTAAGTATATATAAAAATCATAATAATTTAATATTCGAGAGTTTTAATTCATTAACTTTAATTATTTATGTAGTCAATTATTTAACTTTCTAAAATTATCTTATTCTTCTAACCAATTTTTCAGATTTAGTATTCAAAATCTTACTTTAAAGATCAGCACTTCTTTTATATAAATTATCAATATTGATTTCTAACATAGAATTAAATGATGAATCTTCATCTAAACTTTAATCTCGAGAATGTGAAAGTTATTCATTGAAATTAGCTAAATAATGTCTATTTAAATTCTTTTAAGTTCTGGTACTTAGAGATAGTACATTTAATTGGTTTGATGGTTTTAAGATTGGATCATCAGTATTTGGTTTCATAAACATATAAGCATATAATTTGACATCTTTACTGAGTGGATCTGTTAAATTATATTAATTTGGTTCAAATGAATGAAATCTTTTGTTTCCTTTTTTTAAATCTCTTATTAAATTTTTTCTTGCTTTAATTTATAAATTCCTTTCTTAATTTTAATCATGTTCTAAAAACTCTGTTAATTTAGCATTCATTTTTTCTCTTTCTTTTTTTATTGTCTAATGTAATGTAGATTATTATGGTAGAGTTTTCACTCTCATTTAATTATTAATTTATTAATTACAAGTATTAACTCTAACCCTAAGTGATCCTGTTGGATTTTTTTAATATTTTATTTAATCATATTCTCTTATTCCATCTGCTTTTTCAGATAATAAATTTTTAGATTTGATTTTATTTACATTCTTTTCACATGTATCAAATAAATGTTTAAACATTTAAACATCTCTTAAAGAATCATTTTTATTCTTAGATTTCATTTTTTATTAAATTAATTATTTTATTTTATTATATCTTTCTTAAACTTTGATCTTACGTTGTAGAAGATCATCAGTATATGAATTTTATTATAACATAAACATTCTGATTGATGATCTTTGTTTCAATTAAGTTCGAAATCTATTTACATTTTAAAATAGTTTAAATTGATCCATTTTATGAGTCTGACCAATAACATGATTACATTCATTAACTAAGTTCAGAGCAGTTTTTTATCCTTCTAAATAATCTCTAAAGCTAAGTTTCAATTATTCATTGAACAGAAATGGATTTGGTTACTCTAATGGGCATTCATTTTCTAAAGGATCCTTGGCGAATCTAACTTTTGATTTTCTTGGAGTGTCTTATCTTCTGATACTTGATAAGAAATCTTATTATGTAATATTCTCAATTGAAGGTGTACTATCTTATGTCACCTTTATTTGATATTAATTTTTTTTCATTAAATATAAATTTATTTAAATAAGTGTCATAATCTTATAACTAACTCAGTCTCTTTCATTTGTAAATGCCTAAGATAATATCTTAAACTCACTAACATAACTAATAATTAATCTGATCTATATAAATATCTTACATTGAGTTTCTATTTTAGTATGATGATTTAAATTTATTTATTAAAGATACAATTTCATTTAATTATATATTCTCAACTATATTAATTTATTATTAAGTTCTAAAATATGATTTATTAATACTTATTAAATTGTTGATTATTATCAATAACTTTGAATATTGAATTCAAGCCCATATAAATAAGTTACATTAATATATATACAGACCTTAATTGTAATTTAACGGAATTAATCATTTTACTATTTGGTGATTTTTTCATTGAAAAAATGAGGTCGATACAAATCAAATTTCTAATAAATTCTTTATTATTGTTTCTATATTTTAGAGTGAAGGACCAATATGTTAAACTTATTTTTTGAAATAAATTATCGTTTTATCTGATTGAATTATTTTTTTTGTTGGATGAAATGTTAATATTTTATTACATAAGTAGATACTATTTTTAATTTATGTTTTTTTCTGTATTGTTTTGATTTGCAATGATCTTTTTGATTGCTTTTTAAATTAAGTCTTTTATATAATTTATTAAACTATATAATTATTTATTTATGTAAAATAATGTAATTTAGTTTTTAATTATTATTAGGTTGTATTACCTGTGATATGAAAACAATTTTAAAAATATAAATTCTTATCATAAATTAAGTCATTCCTTTTGATTAAAATTTGATTATTAAAAATATGATTATAATCTCACCGTTTTATATTAAATATATAATAATATCAATTGTTATCCTTACATGAATCAAATTCAAATGAACCATCTAAATCTTCATAGACTTACAAAACCTTGGTTGATTTATCAGAAAACTCAACTTATAACTATTAATTTTATAATTAATAATACATTCCATAACATTCCTTAAACTAATTACTTGGCAACTTTTAAAACTTTTTTAAGTTTGACATTTTTGCTTAATTTGCACTATTAGGAACAGTTCTTTTTGGCAACTTCAACAACTTAATTATAGGTAGGATTATTTGAGTATTCTGAAACACTTTTCCAATCAAGAGTAGGTTATTTTTTTGCCTTCTTATTTAATAATATTTATTATCTAATAATTGGAGTTGATAATGTTATATTGAGTATCACTATAACTATGAGCAACTTTATCATTAATATTTTAATAAAATATAAATATAAAAATTATGCTAATTGTAAATTCTTATATGGTTGAATATTTAAATAATCTTCATATAAAGTAGTTAAATAATTTTAGAATTCTTAATAAAGAATTAAGTTATTTAGAATAGTTAATATGATTTGATAATATTAACTCAAAGTATTTTAGGATACTAACTTGTCTTTTCATTAATTACATATATAAATGTTGTTATATTTATTATATGCAATATTTAAATATAGAACCTAAATTTTGGACTTATTCTGTTATTTAATTAAATATCTTTATATTTTAATAATTTTTATTCTAATAGAAAATAATGTCTTATGATGATTATTTTGATTTTGAAGGCTCCAGTTAAATAATTAATGTAGAATAATTAACACAGTTTGAAAGTCACTAACTAAATAGTATATTGAATTTGTATTTAAGGTTAATAAACTTAATAGTTTATTTAAATAATTGATCCAAATAATATTGAAGATCCAGGATTTGCATTTCTATTGTAAGAAGCTAGTGCAATTTAATTAGAAGAAGCTATATTATAAAATATATCAATGTTTTTTAATCGACAAGCAAAATTTTATAATTATCTTACATATTTATTGTAATTGACAGATATAGACAGATAAGGTATAATTTATAAAATATTATTAAGGTGCTCCTGAATATAGCAATTAATTAAATAGGTTATTGAAGATGTTCTTTTAAATTCATGAGATTGGATAGAATTCAGAATTCACATAATAATTAACATAATATTATGGTTTAAAAGATTTTAAAACAGGATATCCTTTTGGATATTATATCAATAGTGATAAATAATTAATTGATCTTTTATTGAAGATTATTTTAAGTGAAGAAATTGTAAATAAAGAAAATGATTACTTTTCCTAAATTAGAATTTATATGTTAAGATTTTTTATTTTTTCTATTAATCCTCCTAAACCATTTTTAAGTAGAACATCATTTAAATCATTTCAATATTAGATAATTAATAAAATAAATAATGAAATATTTGAAACTAATTTTGAGAAACCCTATAAATTAGATTTACTGGCATTAACTTATCTATCTGATTCAGAATTAAATTTTGGATTATTTAAAGAAACAATTGAAATTTTAAGATCTACTCTTTAAAGGTAATCTAATAATTATAATAAATAGTTTATTGGAATAGAAGAGTACTTAATTAGAAACTGATCATGAAATAAAAAATCTATTATAATTTTTCATAGTATTTACAACCAATTAATAAATAATGTAATCTTTCTAGCAAATTAATTTTCATCATAACCTTTATCAATATATAAGATAAAATAAACCTATTGAAAATACTTTTAATCAATGTAATTGGTCTAAAGATCCTTTGATTATTGAATAAATGGTAAGTTTAATTATAAGAATATTGAGTAATGATAATTTAGATAAATAATTCATTATTATATTATAAGAAGATTTCATACTTTATTTGTAACATTAAAAATTGGATATGATAACTAAAATTATTTTGCCTATTTTAAATAATGAACTAATTTAATTTATGCCAGTATGTTTCCATCCAAAATTAAGTATAGCTGAAAGTAAAGCATTTACTGATAAAATATTATCTAACTAAACTAAAACTATGTTAGGTTCAACATTAATATTAACTGAACTTCTTATTAAAAGTTAATGTGATAAAATAAATTAATTAGTTTTAGAGAATCTAAATAAAAGTATACAATAATAATAGTAATAGTAAAATCTTAATTAACATTAAAATTAGTAAATTGTAAAGGATTAAGAATATAATGATTTAGATATGTTTTCTCTTTTTCCTGAAGATTATTATGTGGAGAATCTAAAATATACAAATCCTCAATAATTTTAGAAATTAAAATTTATTTCAATTCCATAAAAATAAAATAATATAAATGAAAAATAAAATTAAATAATAGGTTCTTGGATTCATTTGCATTCATTTAGTGCTTTTAATCCTCATTTAAATTCTTAAATTGTAACAAAAGTATTAGAAAATAGAAGTAATGTTTTATTTATTTTTGAAATTATGGTAGGAGGAGAAAATGTTAAACTTGCATGTTTTGTCAATTAATTAATTTAAGATGGAAGAACATAAAATTATGTATAAGCTAGATCAAATGAATCATCATTTTATGTCATGATGGTTTAAGATGAACATTTATGGTATGTAAATGCATTAGACGGGAGACCTCATATTTTATTAGATATCTAATAACATATGATTTAGATTAGTCATCATAATTAACCTATAGCATGCATAAATTTCTATGATTTTTAATAGAGTAGATTTGGATTCCCATTTTAGAAGTTGCAAGAAAAGACATTGTTAATGGAGCAAATTAATGTTGCTTTATAGGGCTTAGAGTGTTATTTATTATCAATAGAATTACATACTTTTGTTGTGAACAAAGAGAATTTATTTGAAGATGATCTATAATCATTAAATAATAACTATTTAAAGAAATTGAATTATTATTATTCCAATTTGAGAATGTAGCCAATTTAATTTATACCTAAAACAGTAACAGTGTAAGAATTGAAGTAGTATTTAAATGAAAATATAGATATTGATAATTTTAAAGATAAATAGATAAATGATATATATGTAGATAAGCCAGTTACTTAGTAAATCTAGATTAAAATTAAAAATTGTAAACCAATGCTATTATATTTTGAAAATAAGATGGGTGGTATTCTTAAAATACTTGCTTAAGTATAAAAGTATTTAGAAGTAGTTAAAGCAGAAAAGTAAGTTTAAGATTTAATTTTTGAATTGACATTTTTATGTTAGATTGATGGATTTCAAGAATATATTATGTAAAGTGAAGGATTCTTATAATAATTATTAGCATTGGCTTATTTAAATAAGTAAAATAATAGTAAAGAGATCTATAAAAAGATAAATTTAATGATTTATTAACAATTAGTTTATTTATTAAAGGATAAATCTTTTCTTAAGATTTTGATGGTGTTAGAACTTAAACTTTTGGAGAAAGTAGTTATTAAGACAGAATAATATTTGAATTTAATTAACTAGAATACTTAGTCATAAATATAAGTTTAAGTGAAATTTGAGAAGCCAAAAGTTTAATATTTTAAATAATTAATTCCAAATTAAGGAAAACCTAAAGGTATTGGCTATGGAGATGCTGAATATAATGGATTTCAATTTATTAATTAATAATAACAATTTATCTAATAGTAATAAAAATAATAACAAATTAATTAATAATAATAAAAATAATAAGAAGAGAATAAAATAGAGAAAAAATAAAATGAGAATGATTTAAATTTGGAAAATCTATTGAATTGTTTAATCCATTTATTAGATCTTGAGTTTATTAATATAAAAATATTAGAGTGTATTCAATAATCAAATATTATAAACTTAGTAATTAAATATTTATAGAGTGTCAATATAACATCATTGGAAGGTTCAAAAACATTTAATTAAATGCTAAAGATAATCAAATATTTATCATAAAGAGATATGACATTGCAATTATTCATATCAAAAGAGAATACATGTTTATTTAGATAAATGGAATCATTTAATTAATAAATACTGATTTTTATTAAAACATTCAATTCTAAAATAAAAGAATTAAATAAATTTATGGCATTATATCAATATGTGGAATCTTGTTTGTTTGCTGCAAAATTAATAACTATTAAATACATATCTTAAGATTTATAGAATAATGGAGATATTAATATTACAATGCATCAATTTTATAGACCATTTATGAAAGGATTAGTTGTTGGTAAATGTGAAATAAAGACTGATGCAAATTACCTAACCAATATGAGAGACTATTATGTATAAACAAATAATCCATCATAAAATAAAATGTAAAAACTTGTCTCAGAGATTTCAACAATAAATGAAAATCTACCACTTGAAGCAACCAATTCAATCTTCATAAGATATGATAATGATAGAATGGATTGTATGAGAACTATTATATTTGGTGCCAGTGGTACACCTTATGCTCATGGTGCATTCTTATATGATATGTTTTTTGGTGATGATTATCCATAAAGACCTCCAAAAATGAAATTGGCAACAACTGGACATGGTAAAGTAAGATTTAATCCAAATCTATATAATTGTGGAAAGGTTTGTTTAAGTTTATTAGGTACTTGGGGTGATAATTGGATTGCTAATTTCTCTAGTATCTTATAAATATTAGTTTCTGTTTAATCTATGGTAATGAGTGAATATGTAATGTTTAATGAACCAGGATGGGAGTCTTAAATGGGAACACCCAATGGTGAATAGGCTAATAGAGGTTATTGCAATTTCATCAAGATATAGAATATTAGATATGCTATGATAGAATAATTATAAAAACCACCTAAAGGATTTGAAGAAGTAATAAAGAAGAGTTTTTATTTGCGTAAAGATTTGATAAAATAAGAGATTGAATAATGGATAGAATAAGCTAATTTACCAGCAACCTACCTTCAAACTTAGAATCATTGTACTTATTCTGCATAGCCATAACAATACAAATAAGATTTGATTAAAATATATTAAGAATTGATAGTGGAATTGGAGAAATTGAAACTCAATATAGGAAAGGATTTCCAGACTATATCAAATGATAAGAAGAAAGAAATAAGTTTTAATTTAGATAATATTTAAAAATAATAAGAACCATAGATAGTTAATGAAAAAGTGATGCCTTAAGGTTTGAATATCAATGAGATTGATATTAGTTATAATAATAATTTATAATAGCGATAATTTGATTCAAACGATCAAAATCTATAGAATTTGATGTGTAGATATATTGGAGTTGTTGGTTTAGATGCAGTAAAGAAATAAAGTGAATCTACTATTTTTATACATATATTAAATGGTTTAGGTATTGAAATAGCAAAGAATATAGTATTATCAGGTGTAAAAAGAATACTATTATTTGATCCTTAATTAGTTTAGATGAGTGATTTAGGTAGTAATTTT